TGAGTGTAGCCAGGATGCAAGGAAGGCACGGGCTCTTAGGAGGCATCACAATCTCTTCTAACTCAGATGGCAGTCAAGAGAAATGAAAGCTAGAATTTGGCAGATGGAAGGAACATAAAAATGGTTCCTGCCTGTGTCACCCAGGCTAAGCAAAAGAAGGAAGCATTGGGACCATTTGTCTTAGTTTGGAAATTGGTATCCCATTGTATCACATCATATTGTATCATATTGTATCGTATTGTATTGTATCCTATCCTACCCCATCCCATCCTACCATATCCTGTCTTAGCCCATCCCATCCCATCCTATCCCATCCTACCCTATCCTGTCTTAGCCTGTCCCATCCCATCCTATCCCATCCTACCCTATCCTGTCTTAGCCTATCCCATCCCAGTCTATTGCATTGCATCCTATCCTATCCTGTCTTATCCTATTGTATCTTATCCTATCTTATCCTATCCCATCCTATCCTGTCGTGTCCTAACTATCCCATCCCATCCCATCCCATCCCATCCCATCCCACCCCATCCCATCCTACCCTACCCTACCCAACCCTACCCATCCCATCCTATCCCATCCTGTCCTATCCTACCATATCCTACCCTATCCTATCCTACCCCATCCCATCCCATCCCATTCCATCCCATCCCCCATCCCATCCTATCCTATCCTATCCTATCCTGTCCTGTCCTGTCCTGTCCTGTCCTGTCCTATTCCATCCCATCCCAGTCTATCGCATCATATTGTATCCTATCCTAGCCTCTTCTGTTCTATTCCATTCCATTTGGTTCCATTCCATTCCATGATATGCCATGCCATGCCATGCCATGCCCTGTTATTTCCCTGCAAGGGGGTTTCAGATCCAAAACCACTTTCAAGGACACAAATCAGGTTAGCCTGAAAAAAACATCCCTTGCAGTCTGGCAAAGGAAAGCTTCAGAGCCAGAGAAAGCAGCAGCAGGAATATAGGCTGTCTGGGTTCAGCACTAGCAGCCATTTTTTCCCCTTCTTAGTAGCTGGTGCAGTGCTGTGGTTTTGACTTTCAGCCTGGGAACAGCACTGATAACACCGATGTTTTTAGTTGCTGCTCAGTAATGTTTACTCTGACCAAGGACTTTCTGAGTCTCATGCTCTGCCACGGAGGAGGGGAAACCAGAAGGAAGCAGAGACAGGACACCTGACCCAAACTGACCAAAGAGGTATTCCATACCACAGCACGTCATGCCCAGCATGTAGAACTGGGGGCAGTTACCTGGGGGGAGTGAGAGAGTGGCTGTGTGGCTGACTGAGTTTACAGCACGACATAGGCCAAGCAGTCCCTGCCTCCTGCAGAGTGAGAATGTGAAGAACGAGCATTGGTGCCAACCACACACAGATGTGCAAGAAGGCGGCGTGGTACTGTGACTATTTTTCAAAGCATGACATGTAGCAATGACAAACATACTTTTGTGTTCCAAAACTTGCTCAGCTACTGCACTTCTTGGCCAGTGATCATTAAAAATCCTCTCACAGCTGCCCTGTACTTGTGTTGTGCACAGGGAGAGCTGGAAAGTGGTAGCTGCTGACAGGGCAGCAAGGCTGGAGCCCTTCCAAGCAAGAACCCCCATGAGAAATGGAGCCAAGTGAAGAGCAGAACTCACTCCCACTATGAGCTTGCACTGAGCAAGAGAGCCAGAGTGTGCCAGGTCACGACTGGTGCCTTGAACATGCACGGGCAGCAAACAAGAACTGAGACGCCAGGACCCAGGGGAACCCTTACAAGTGGCTGTGTGCAGTGCTACAGATGACGAGAAGGAACCCTGGGGGACCACCCTGGGAGTCTAGAAATCTCCCTCCCTTTGGATGGGGGGCACAAGGGTCACCTGTGTGGAGCATCAGCAAGCACCTAGTAGGGCCCAAAGAAGCCCAGGCAAGGTGCCTTGCTCAGTGGGGATGACAGGGTCCCTCATGGGCAGCCCTGCCCCCTGCCCCTCTACCCAACATATTCCAGAAGGAAGGCCTTTGGGGTACTGGCCTCACAGTGAGAAAGGAGGTTGTAGTGGGTGGGGGTTGGTCTCTTCTTCCAATTAACAAGTGATAGAACAAGAGGTAACAGCCTCAGGCTGTGCCAGGGGAGGTTTAGATTGGGTATTAGGAAAAAATTCTTCACAGTGAGGGTGGTCAGGTATTGGCACAGGCTGCCCAGAGCAGTGATGGAATCATCGTTCCTGGAAGTGCTCAAAAACCATGTAGATGAGGCCCTCAGTGACATGGTTTAGTGGTGGATTTGGCAGTCCTAGGGGTAGTGACTGTACTTGATGATCTTAAAGATCTTTTACAACCTAGTTGATTCCATGATTCTACAAGGTTTTACTAGGATACTTTGTATATAATGCAAATTACTGTTCCTTGGTTGGCCAAAGTGAAGATGAGAGTTTTAGAAGATCCTGCAGTGTAAGGCATTCTCTTTCTTCATAATCACTAGAGCTGTAGGTTTTTCTTTGTAGGACAAAGAAAAATGACGCAAAAAAAAATCATTATATATTCCTGAATGCTTTAATAGTGGCTGAAATTAAAGAAATAACTTGTCCTTTGCCACATAGAGACACATGCACTTCCAAACAACACTTTTTCTCAGAAGTACATTATTTGTATTTAAGTTTTAAAACCCACAAAAATGTGCAAAGCAGAACTCATAGCTCACAGGCTCAACCTCTTCAGTGTGATAAGAGGTGTTGCAAAAGTGCTTATGAACAAGTGAAAATTCAGCACTCCTCAACAAGTTTATTTTTTTAATAATTCAATTCCACAAATGAGATATGGAGTAAATTCTCACTTTGGTATACATAGAAAATACCCACTGTTTTCATAAGGAATTCTGTTACAACAAAGGAGAAACACCCTTTAGGAAAATCTTCTTGAATGACTGTGAATTGTTTTTGTTTAGTTACTTCAGGAAAATGAATAAAAAGTAATCTGGGTCCTGATTCATCTCTGATTTAAGCTTCAGCAAAAGGGAAGTAATTTAGTGGCTGCATAGCAAAGAGGAGAATCAGGGCAAGGAATTCTATAAAAGATTAAACAGATACAAAGACCAGTTCTCTGTTCATGATTTTGCGTAATAGTATGTGAACATTTAATTATACAATATCTAACTCATACAGTAATTAAGGAGGCAAACAAGTGGTTCAAAAAACAGTTTCAAAAGATGTCTTTCATGAGTATTTTCAGGGAGCTGTGGCACGTCGTGTTTTGTTTTCAATACAGCTGTACTGGGGCCACCTGTAGATTGCCAGCATGTTGATCACAAAGGGGTTCTTCTAAGAGCAGTGGAAGGCCACTCAGGTATTATAGCATACGGATGTATTTACTGACTGCCCATAACCACATACAGAGACCTATTGGATGTCAAAGACGAAACTACTCAAAACATTTTATTTACAGTATATGGGAGTAAGTGTTCTTATTGGTATGAGGCATAAGAACACAATTTTACTGCCTGGTGAGTAAATTCAGCTTTTTATTCTCCAAATATTTGCTGTTCAGTCTGCTTTCTGACTTTTCTTTTTTTTCCTTTTAATATACATGCAGCAAAAATGATCCCTTTAAAGCATAAATTTCCTAAACTTCTGCTTAGCTGCTGTAGCAAGCTGAATTCTCTTTGTTTTGTTACCAATTTTGCAGATTTTGATGAGAGGAAGTATATACTTACACCATTTTTTGCAAGAGCATATTGATTTCTTACTTGGCAAAACATTTTCAGTAGACCTCAACTCTGCACCTCAGATTACACAGCAATTCCTGTATTGCAATACTTCAGTTTCAATTTTAGGTTACAAGTATATGCTGTGCAAAACATGCAACCTTTCGAGAGACCTACCTTTCAACAGAATAACAGGAAAAATCAAATTCAGACAAAGTTCTAAAACACACTGATGTTTTTCAGAAGAAGAAATGTTACAGTAAACATAGCAGAGTTCAGTTTTTCCTGCACAACACTGTCATTTACAATACTTTGCTTCATGCTCTTTGCACAGTGCTTCAGTCCACTCAAATATTTTAATGAAGATGTACCTTTCAGTTTTCAATTGTTATGGGATAGATTAGGATTTTTTTTTTAATTTTTTTTTTTTTTCTATTCTCCAGAACACTTTGGAACAGGAACATATGACTAGGCAGCACAGATTCATCATGACAGGGAACTGAGTAACAGGATCTGCAAGGTATCATGAAAGAATTAAATCAAATGAGAGTGAATTCAACACACAAGAAAAAGTTTAATAAGGAAGCAAGAGCTTTGCTTTTTCAGTAATTCAATGAGCTGTAAAATAAGACACTAGAGAAAGAAATCCCAGATCTCATAGCACTGAATTTATTAATAATTAGTTATCACCAACTCCTCAGTGAGGCACAACTTGATTGGAATAGTAACTCTGTGCTATTCAGGTTACTTATTTATAGCGGGCAAACGAAACACACTGGTGAATGGTTGTGGTGCGAGAGCATCGGAGAAGCCATGAACCTTGCAGTTTATCTCCCGATCTATGCTACCCCTCACTGCATGATCTTCCCCTGAATTCTGCAGTCCTGGACAGGGCCTTCAGCTCTCCGGCATTTCCCTTCACGTCTCTGTGAAGGGCATGCTGCCTTAGTAGGCTCCTTTGAGAGCTGTTCAGTTGAATGTGTGCGAAATGTGGCTGTAGTTTTAAACGCTCCCGGGTCCGAAGTGGGGGCCAGGACTGGGTTCCCGGAGCTGAGACCGTTTCTGCCACTGACCCCGATGCCCCCCGAGCTCTCTTTGCAAGCCAACTGAGACAGCCCCGTCCGAACGCCCGCAGCAGGCCGGCCACCCGTCCGCGCCTGGTGCTTTGAGACCCTTAGACGGGTATGGGCCCCCCGCACTCCGGCCTCACGCTCTGCAAACACCGCCGCCCCGGAGGGCCCTTCGCACTCCCCACTCCGCACCCCTCCGCGCCGGCCCTTGCGGCGCGGCCTGACGTCACCGCCCGCGGCCAGCAGGGCGGGGCGGGACCTGACCAGGCGGGGCGGGCGGCGGGTCCGCTCTCCGCTGCGGGCTGCGCGGGGCAGCGCGGCGGGCGTTGTGGGGACAGCGAAGCGCGCGGCGCCGTCTCCGCCACCATGGAGGAGTTCCTGCAGCGCGCCCAGGCCAAGCTGGTGAGTCACGGCGGGCAGCGGGCGACAAACTTCGCCCGACTTGCGGGTGGAACTCTGTGGAGCGGGCGGTGGGGAGGGGATGGGGCTTGCGACCTCTGCGTCGGCCGGGGTGTGCTTTGAGGGTGCGCTTTTTTCTCTTGCCTTGCTGCCCTGTAGTGATTGCTGAATAACGCCCCGCTTCACAAATGTACAAACCCGTATTTGACAGGCGGGGAGGGGAGGACACGGGCACACGCGAACGGCAGCGTGCCATTTGGGGATTATTGGCACATGTGTAGAGACTGAGATGCTTCAAGTTGCGTAGCTGAGTGTGGAAAACCATACGTCAGAGTCACCGAGAAACTAATTTCTGTGGTCTAAATGTCACGAGGAATAGGGGTAAGTTTTGGTAAGCAAAACTCAAAATAACTGAGGAATAGGCAAAGTTGATCAAGGACCAGCCCCATAATTGTGTTGCTTCTGCCCTAGGTAATACTGTGTTAGGAATCACAGAGATGTAAAGGTCCTGTTCTCAAATGACTCTTGTTAGTTCAAGCTCTGTTGTGCCTGAAACTGCAGTACATTTGTTTACAGTGACTGATAAGATGGCCCCAAACAGTGTGTGCTTTCTTCCCCCCTTTATGTACAATGTGAAGGTAGGATGTTTTTAAGACTGGGGTGGTCTTAGGCTGTCTTGTTTCCAGTTGTGAGGCTTGATTTTCTTCGCAAAACTCGGATTTAAAGTTGTTACCTGCAGTCCTGCTAGCTATCCCAGCTCTGAGAACTGTGTTCAATTAAAGGACTAATGAAGGGCTAGTAAAAAAATATCCACAGTCTGTGACTGCGAGTTTTGCCCTGTATTCTTGGTCGCTTGGGAACTGTGTGCTTGCAGGGTCCCATCTCCACCCTTTGGGGTGTTGTTATAGTTAACTAAATGTAGACTTCATTGTTGATGATTAGAAGCGTAGGGCCTTTACTGTACCATAGACCTGTTATGGAATCTTTGTAGAGGATGAGCATTTATAAAACCAAGATGGTCTTTCTCCAATGACCATCATTCTCTATGTGTAATGATTTGTAAAGGATGGTTTGTTACACCATCCCTTTTTTATGTCATACATATGTTGGAAATCGTAGAATTAAGGTGTTTTTTTAGAGGACTGGCAGAATAAAGGAGAAAATTAATTCCTTGGTGGCTCCCTTAATATTTAACTGTTTTGGTAAATATTAGGTGTAAACATGAGGTGTGTCATCTTGGCTACATGACAACTAAATTGTTTTACTCTGTATTTTTTAGGCATTTGTAAGATGTTCCTCTTATGTGTTCATGGAAATAGTCTAAACTTTGGTAACCCCATTAAAAGATACTGCATAGCACAGTTACAAATACTTAATACATTTTCACATCAGCATTTCATATATCGCAATATTTGAATGGGAGATTTAGTTTTGACAGACTTCCTACTCAAGTACATCAGAGCTTGTCTTACTTAATAGACATTAGTTATGCTACGATGGTGGTCCCTTCTGCATCATTAGTAAATGGCAAGCAGTAAGAACAACTGGATTTTACTACTAAAAGGAAATAGTGCATTAATATTTCTGAATAGCTGTTGATAATCAGAACAGATTTGACTGGAAAACTATACTCTGAAGAGGCCCATGGATAGCATAATATTATTTCTTTAATTTAGATGAAACAGGGAGCACAACAAATTAACAGTATCCGTTTTTATTCCTGCAGTGTATTTTTTTCATAAGAAATGTGGGCTTTGTACCTTCTAAACTGTGGAAGAAAAAAAGTCAACTATTTGGAGAAGGTTTCTTCTACAGGAGTATTACAGTGGGGGAGTTTAGTTGTGTGGTCATGTCAGCTGAGCATGGCTGGGGAAGAAGCATCTGAGCATCTGTTCGGTTTAGGACAGATTTATGAATCTTACAGGTTGACTTAAATTTGTCAATTTACTTTGTACCACAGCAGCCTGGAAAAGGTAATCCAGAGTAATCGAAGGTTTGCATTCGGCAATGCAGAAGGCTGATACGTTTTCCTTCTTGCTTGGTTCAGACTTTTATGGGGAATCTTTCTCTTCTGAAGAAAGATCGACTGAGCTGAAGACAAACAAGGGGCTATGTTTGGTTTGCACTGACGTAAGGTGAAGCAGCCCGAGTAAATGGGTGAATGGCTTAGTATTAATGGGTTGCTGTGTATTGCTGTGCTGCTGCAGCTGTATCTCTGGAAGACACTAAAGCGTTCCAGTTGTATCTTGGGGGCCTGATGATGCCAGTCTTACAGTGATAGTATTTCACACCATAGGTGTGAAACCTAATCTTTTTAGGTTAAACAGATTACATTCACTGACTACATGATTGCTACTCATTCTGAGTAAAGGAAAATTTTCTTTACTCATGAACAATAGCTCCAAAAGAGCAGTTGCTCCAGACTGAGTATGGGAACCTATTACTGCAAGTGCTTCATCATTCGTTTGGGTCTGGCTCCAGCCACAACATTAATCAAGGGTTTTTTTTCTACATACTTGGAGTATACCACACAAAGGACTTGTGCATTTTTGTTTTCTAAGACTTTTGTGTTGTGTATTTTCATTGACTGTTAGAGAGAAAAATTCTTGGCGTATTATCTATTGATAATAAAGTCTCCATCAGGCTATTCTTTCTTTAAGAAGATAGGATTTTGCTTTTGTAACTTGCCATGTAGACATGGAACATTCTCAGTGATATTTTTTCAGTGCTGATTTTTAAAATTCTTATGTATAATCGGTGCAAAACCAAGGGGAAAAAATGTTAGAAGGCAAAACATGGCAGAATGTAAGAGATGCGATACTGACATTTTAGGGCATTTACAGTTCAGTCCTGTAGGCTTTTCCCCAGCTTTTCCGAAGTCTAGTAATAATGTGAGAATAGTTGAGGCTAGGTGTGACCAAAGGTCCTTCTAAACCAGTGTTCTGCCTTGGCTAAGGGAGTAGTAAGCAGTAGAATATACAGGTCTGCTGATAAGGTGTTGAAAGCTTAGATCAAAATGTGTATCTGAACTACTGTGATAGCCACAGCTCAAGCCAGAGTTTTACAATTGTATCATGCAATTTGTGTGAGTGCTGCAATATCCCTTTCTGTTTACTTTAAGCCATCTGCCTGACAATTTTAATGGGTGTTCCATGGTTCTTATGCCTCAAATGAGTATTTGTTGTTCATTTTCCCAAGGTGTTTAGTTAAGCATTACCATATCCCTCTTCTCCCAGAGATTTTCAAGCTGAGTTTCTCTATCACCACTTCTTACGTGAAAACTGTTTGCTCACTCTGTTTATCGTTGTGGCATCTCTCTGAATGTTTTATAATTTCATTAACCCTTTAAAAGTTGTGGACTGCCTGCTGTATTTAAGGCATTAGTATGTAAAAGACTTTGATGGTAGTATAGCAACGTATTTTTTTTTCACTTTCTTAAGAGTGCTTGATATCCTACTTACTTATTCTATTCTTACTTATTCTGTTTTACTGTCAGAAAGCATTTTTCTGGTGCTTTCAGTGTATCATTTAAAATGAATACATAATGGGGTTTTCTGCTTGGTAATACTAACGTTAAATCCTGTTTGGCTGTGAATCATACCTAAACATAGTTAAAAAAATGGATGTGGGGTTGTTTCCTCACATTTTCCCTAGTCTGCACTCTCAGTTCTCATTTCATTTACTATTTTATTACCTAGTCCTGCAGAGTCATGAGTCCTTTCTACAGCCCTTGCAGCCAGTTTTAATTTGACTCTCCTGAATTATCTGTCATTCTCTGCAGTTTTTGCCACTTCGTTGTTTGCCTGCCTGTCCTACTGGAAGTAATACCATTTATTATTTATGGATATGGAGAACAGTACATATCCTAGCACATATCCTTGTGGAGAATCCTTCACAGATACTTTTTCTTCATTGTGAAAACTAACCATTTGTTTTCTAGCTTTTAGTTTTTTATTATGCTGTGAGAGGATTAGAGCCCCCTTTTCTTTTATGATTTAGTTTCTTGACTAGACTTTGAAAACTTTTCAATAATATTTCTGGAAACCCAAGTACAATGCATTGACTAGCTTATCCTTCTCTGCATGCTTGTTGAATTAAAGAACTTTAAAAGACACTGTACGAAAATCACACACTTCACAAAACCTTGCTGTTTCATTCCCAATATACTTTTACTGACATGTTTGGTGGTAATTCATTCTGTCTTTCTCTAGGTTAGACTCTTTCAGGCACAGCTAATTTCTCAAGTGGGAGAAGAATGATCAGTCAGTACATGATTTTGCATAATTTAATTAGAAAAATAAAAGTTTAAGGCTTCAGTGGTATAACTTCAGGACGATTATCAGAATGTTAAAGGCAATTAAACAGAAGTAAAAATTCAGAAATGACGTATTTAGTGATTCTCTGATGTGAGATACTGTGTGCTGCAAGAGGTAGTTAAGTTTGGTGTTTTTCAAGTAATTTCATTTGCTTTAGCCTGTTTGCAGTGAAGCTGAATGGCTGTGAGAAGTTAAGTCAAGGGAGTCTGTCAAGAAAAAAGCTGTAAGAATTAAAAAAAACCAAAACTGACAGAATTCCTCCCGAGACATGCTGAGACAGTGGCTGCCAGCCAGTACTTTTTCCCTGGCCTTAGGTCTGTGCTTAATGGAGAGCCTAATGCTTCATATGCTGTCTTCAGGGAAGTCAAAGAGGGCAGAATGAGCCCTGGAAAAGTCTTAATGTGCTGATGATACTGAGATATCAATACACTGCAGCAAACTGCTTCAAACTAGCAACATGGTCCTCCCTCTGCAGAGAACAGCAGATTAGCTGGGAAAGTAATCTTTCTAAATGCTGTGTCATCTTCAGCAGTTGACAGCATTTGGAAAAATCCCCAAATCTCCTAAAACTTCAAGTTCATTTAATCCCTTGTTGCTGTAAGAAAAGACTCTCTAATGCTGGACCAATGTTGCCCCTGACAGAATTACACACAAATGGGGAGTTATGGCCCCAGACAGACATGTCCA